CCATCTCTTTTCACCAGAACTGTCTAGACCAGATGAAAACTATTCAGTGGTGACTCTATCTTCCCCTGCATACTATTAAACTAAACTCATTCTTGAAAACTTGTAAGCCAGTCACTTTGTGTCTTTATCTAGAGGCTTATCAATTTTTAAAGTCTTTTTATGGAGTCAGCATTTGGCTTTGTGGATTTCCTCTACTCTCGATTTGTTTTCTATAGTGTTCTTTCTTTTAAGCTGGTTACCTTTTAATTCAAATGGTGAAAATGAGTAATGCAAAATTGTGGATAGTTGGGCAAATGGTGTGGGCTCACAAGTATTTATTTTATTTCTTGCATACTACCTCCACATTTATGATAAATTCACCATTTAAAACATCTTTGACTAAGCAATTCTGGGGAATAGCCTGAGGATATAATTAAACAAATTCATATAGATAAATGGTAGAGGGTGTTCATTGCAGGATTGCAATTAACCCAAGCAGCAGGTAGGGGATTTCCCAGCTCATGTATTTAAACTGTCCAGGGAAAGGACAGCATCTTGGTCATCTAGTGCTGTTGTAACAGAAATACTGCAAGCTTTGACAAACAAAAATGTATGCTCTCACAGATTGGGCGGTCAGAAGTCTAAATTCAGGGCACCAGGTCTACTAGAGGACTTTCTCTTCAGCTCTGGGGGAAGATCCTTGTCTCTTTGAGCTTAGGCTCTTTGAGTTTAGGCTTCATCTGGGTTGGCATGTCTCACTGCCACCTCTTCTTTCTTGGTGGTAGTCAGGGCCCTCCTTCTCTGCTTGTGTCTCTCTCTTTTCTCTCTTAAAAGAGATTGACTGAAGATACAACCTAATCCTGCATCCTGGCTCATTAACATTGTTGTTGTTGGGTGCCATCTGTAGTGACCCTATGCGCAACAGAACGAAACCCTGCCTGGTCCTGTACCAGTCTCACAATCACTGCTCCGTATGAGCCCATTGCTGCCACTACAGTGCCAGTCCATCTCACTGGGGGGGTCTTCCTCTTTTTCTCCAACTCTCCACTTTACCAAACATGATATTCTTCTCCAGGGACTTGTCCCTCCTAATAATATGTCTGAAGTATGAGAGACGAAGTCTGGCCATCATGGCTTCTAAGGAGCACTCTGGCTGTACTTCCAACACAGATCGATTTGTTCTTTTGGCAGTCCATGGTACTTTTAATATTCTCCTCCAACACCATACCTCAAATGCATCAATTCTATGGTCTTCCTTATTCACTGTCCAACTTTCACATGCATATGAGGTTATTGAAAATACCATGACGGGTCAGGTGTGCCTTAGTCTTCAAACTGATACCTTTGCTCTTCAACACTTTAAATCTTGTGCAGCAGATTTGTCTAATGCAATAAGTCATTTGATTTCTTGACTGTTGGTTCCATGAGTGTTGATGGTTGATCTGAGCAGAATGAAGTCTTGAACAACTTCAATCTTTTCTCCATTGATATGGATGTTATTTATTGGTCCAGTGGTGAGGATTTTTGTTTTCTTTTCATTGAGATGCAATCCATACCAAAAGCTGTGCTCTTTGATCTTCATCAGTAAGTATTTCAAGTCCTCTTCACTTTCAGCAAGCAAGGTTCTATCATCTGCATATCACAGGTTGTTAATCAACCTTCCTCCAATCCTGATTCCACCTTTTTCTTCATAGAACCCAGCTTCTCGGATTATTTGCTTAGCATATAGATTGAATAAGTATGGTGAAAGACTACAACCCTGGTGCACACATTTCCTAATTTTAAACCATTTGGTGTTCCCTTGTTCTGTTTAAACAACTGCCTCTTGGTCTACAGGTTCCTCATGAGCACAATTAAAAGTTCTGGAATACTCATTCTCCACAACGTTGTCCATAGCTTGTCATAATCCACACAGTCAAAAGCCTCTGTGCAGTCAATAAAAAACAGGTAAACATCTTTCTGGTATTCTCTACTTTCAGCTAAGTTGCATCTGATATCAGCAATGATATCCCTTATTCCACACCCTCTTCTGAATCCAGCTTGAACCTCTGGAATTTTTCTGTTAGTGTATGATTGCAGCAATTTTTGTATTACCTTTAGCAAAACTTTACTTACATGGGATATTAATGATATTGTCCAATAATTTCTTCATTTAGTTGGGTCACCTCTTTTTGGAATGGGCACAAATATGGGTCTCTTCCAATCAGTTGGCCAGATAGTTGTCTTCCAAATTTCTTGGCATAGATGAGTGAGTGCCTCCAGTGCCCTCTCACTTTGTTGAAAGATTTCTATTTGTATTCCATCAATTTCCGGTGCCATATTCTTTGCCAATTCCTTCAATGCACCTTGGACTTCTTCCTTTAGGATCATTTGACTCTTGACCATATTCTACTTCTAGAAATGGTTGAACATCGACCTTTTCCTTTTGATACAGTGTCTCTATGTATTCCTTCCATTTTCTTTTGATGCTTTCTGCATCATTCAATATTTTGCCCACGGAATCCTTCAATACCACAAGTTGAGGCTTGAAGTTTTTCTTCAGTTCCCTCAGCTTAAGAAATGCTGAGCGTGTTCTTCCCTTTTGGTTTTCTAACTCCAGGCCTTTGCACATTTCTTTAAATTTGACTTTGTCTTCTTGAGCTGGTCTTTGAAATTTTCTGTTCAGCTCTTATGCCTCCGTACTTCTTCCAGTTGCTTTAGCATTCCTACGCTGGAGAGCAAGTTTCAGAGTCTCTTTTAACATCCATTTTGGTCTTTTCATCCTTTCTTGTCATCTTAGTGAGCTTTTGCTTTATTCCTGTATGATGTTCTTGATGTCATCCCACAACTCTTCTGAGCTTCAGCCTTTAGTGTCTAATACATCAAATCTGTTTTTCATATGATCTCTAAATTCAGGTGGGATATGTTCAAGGTCATATTTTGGCTCTTGTAGAGTTGATTTCATTTTCTTAAGCTTCAGTCTGAATTTGCATATGAGCAATTGCTGGTCAGTTCCACAGTCTGCCCCTGGGCTTGTTTTGGCTGACGATATGTAACTTCTCCACCATCTCTTTCTACAGGTGTAGTCAGTTTGATTTCTGTGTATTCCATCTGGTGAAGTCCATACTCATCTTTAATGTTGTTTAAAAAATGTATTTGAAATGAAGAAGTTATTGGTCTTGCAAAATTCTATCAGGAGATCTCCAGCATCATTTCTATCACCAAGGCCATATTTCCTAACTACTGATCCTTTTTCTTTGTTTCTAACCTTTGCATTTCAATCACCAGTAGTTATCAATACATCTTGATTGCATATTTGATCAATTTCAGACTGAAGAATTCGGTAGAATTCTTAAATTTCATCATCACTGGCCTTAGTGGTTGGTGCATAAATTTGAACAATAGTAATATTAACTGGTCTTCCTTGTAGGTGTATGGATATTATCCTATCACAGACAGCGTTGTACTTCATGACTGATCTTGATACATTTGTCTTGACGATGAATGCTATGCCATTCCTCTTCAATTTTTCAGTCCCAGCATAGTAAGCCATTGTGAAATTCAAAGTGACTGTGAAATTCAAAATGGTCAATACCACTCCATTTCCGCTTACTAATGCCTAGGATGTCAATGGTTATGCGTTCGGTTTCCTTTTTGTTAACTTCCAATTTTCTTAGATTCATACTTTGTACATTCCATGTTCTGATTACTAATGGATGTTTATAGCTGTTTCTCTTCATTTTGAATTGTGCCCCATCAGCAAATGAAGGGCCTGAGGGCTTTACTCCATTCGCCTCATCACAATCAACTCTACTTTGAGGAAGCAGCTCTTCCCCAGTCGAGTTTTGAGTGCCTTCCAACTGAGGGGCTCATCTTCTGGCACTATATCTGATAATATTCTGGTGTTCTTTATCATGTTTCAGTATTCAATAACCTGGTGCTGACAGTGTCCCACTGCTATTCATAAGGTTTTCAGTGACTAAATATTTGGAAGTAGTTCCTCACTCTTTCTTCCTTGTCTGTCTTCGTCTGGAAGCTCATTGGGAACCTGTTCACCATGGGTGACTCTGCTGATATTTAAAATACCAGTGGCATAGCTTCAGAATCACAGCAATTCACAATCCACCACAGTATGACAAACTGACAGACAAATGGTGGAGATGGATACTGAGAACCTTGATTTCATTTCCCCCCCTAATATGTACCTTGTAAGGCTATAAATTTGGGTCTAGTTGCAGCTTTAACTGCACCAATATATTCTGATACATCTAAATGCTTACTATCATTCATTTCAAAATATTTTCTAACTTTCTTTGTGATTTCTTCTCTGACCCATGGGTTATACATGCGCCCATCATTCCATTTCTAAACATTTGAGAATTTTCTAGTTATCATTCCTTCCAGAATTTAGTAAGGGTTCACCTTCTTCCTGTCTTTATGATCCTCTTATGTATCTTTTGAAGTTTAGATCTGCTTCTGTTCATTGAGAACATCTTAAAATTTATCTTCACTTCTAAAGCATTAGGGGCAGTAAAGGTTGAGGGATAGAGAGTTCTGCTCCCTGGCAAGCCCCTTGTAAAGGGGTGTCTCTTGGTGGGTCATGCTAGTATGTGTGGGGCCAGGGAGAGGACTCATGTTCATTGGGTACATTGGAAGAGGCTGGCTGGGAGCCAGGCTGACCACAAGTATTCTGGAGGCGTAAGTTAAGCTCTCAGCTGCTAACCACAAAGTCAGTCATTCAAAGACCTGGTGATCTACTCCCACAAAAACTACAGGCTAGAAAATGCTAGGGGACAATTCTATTCTGCTCCATGGGCTCAGTAAGATGCTATATCAACTCAACAGCACCTCACAAAAACAACTTAGGCAAAGACACAGAGAGGACATGGCCACGGGGCATGGCTGCCATGAATGGCTGCTAGTGTGCATCTGAGTCCCAGACTTTGGGGTCTGCTCTCCCTGACCCGGGAGCTGCTGTCCAGGGATAAGAGAGAGGAGAGCCCGAGACTCTGTGGGTGTATGTGGACTGCTCTCCTCTGCAGGACAACTGCCTGTTCATGCTGTGTGAGGAGGTCCAGCGTCTGTCAGAGCTGGAGGTGCAGAGCCGGAAGAAAGATGAGGAGATCCTGGTGCTTCGGGAGGAGATGGAGGCCCTGAAGAAACAGCTCAAATCCCTGCTCAAAGGCAATGTCTGGGAAATGCCCGCGTCACCAGGTCTGCAGGTGAGCCAGTACCTGTCGAGCGGGGAGGGCACTGCTGCTAAACACCCACACCACTGGTGGCCCCCCAGGCATTGTGAATGCCACCAGGTGGAACTAGACCTGGTGTCAGGATTGTGACCACGAGACAGGAATTCCAAGGGAGCTGGAGACAAGGAGCTTTGAGCTGACACCTAGACATCTGAGGATTGTTCCAGCTCGGCTTCCTCTTTGCTTTTGAGCTGCTTACTAGAAGGATCTGGGCTCAGTTTTCTTAGCTGTAAAACAAAGCTCTGGGCTCCCCTCTGGGATTGCCTGAAGCTCTGGAATCCTGGGGGGAGGAGGGGCCCAGACCTGTCACAGCTGGCTGCTGGGTCTCGGGAAGCCGGGTTACTGAGTGGATAAATCCACAGGCTTGGATTCCTGTCCTGCTATCCTTCCCTCCCCTGACCTAGGCTCTCAGTGTCCTCATCTGAAATATGGACGGTGGGATAGCCTGCCCAGCGCTTGCTTGGGGAGGTGGGGGGAATGTTTGTTGTGGAGAAGACTTGTGTAGAAACAGCGTAGATCCCGGGTGAGCAGTTGCCCAATTTCTTCATGCAGAAGATACACCTCAGCTGATGTTGTGGGTGGATGTAAAGAAGTGGAAGATTTCAGCCCGGCATAGAGTCCCCGGGACAAGAGAGCTGCCCAGACACTGATGGTGGTAGCAGTGAGGGGACTCGAGAGGGCCACCATGTCTGGGACAGGACCCCTTGGTCCTTCCCTTGAGTATGCAAGTTACTGGAAATCACCCACCTGCAGGCCCTCCACCCCATCTGCTGCTCTCTGACCCCTTGGCAGGAGGATAACCAGCCCCCCTACCTTGATGTGGAACAGCTACTGCCCCCTGGTCAGGAGGACAGGTCGAGGCAGTCCATTGCCCTTGAGCAGCTTCAGGAAGGATTTGAAGCCCTGAGTGTCTGCATGGGCTCCCTGCAGGAACTGTCTGAGGCACCGGCCACACCTGAGCAGGTGAGCATCTTTCAGGGCATCTGCGGGGACAATGAGGAGGAGGAGCTGCTGCTATGCTGGAAGCAGGTGGGCAGGTGATGTGAAGTTCCTCCTGAGCTTCCCACAGGATGCTGACCCCAGTTGGACTGTCCCCCTCTTGTGTAGGCTCCCAGGCCCCTAAAAGGGAACAAGTGAGGCATGCCCAACTGAGGTGACAGGCCAGCTTCAACCTCATGATGGAGGAGTAGGAGGTTGAGTCACAGGTGTGTCTGGCTGGCATGGTACACAGTACCCAGAGGGTACCCCCATCTCTCTGGTTCCCCAAAGCAGCCTAAAGTGAAGTACCTTCCCAAGTCTCCCACCATCCAGGCCCCCTCCCAAGGGAACCTGAGCTCTGGCCAACATGGCCCCCTTCCGCAGATGCAGGAGGGCTACCTGGTGGAGGAGAAGGGCACAGACCTGGAAGGAGAAGGAGGAGACAAAGAGGAAGAGGACCAGGCGGGGGCCGAGGAGCAGGTAGAGGGGGCGGGTGCAGGCAAGAAGGAGGCTACGCAGGAGGCAGAGTATGAGGAACAGGAGGCTGGTGAGAAAGAGAAAGAAGAAAAAGACGAAGAAGAAGAGGTGGGGTTGGTGGAAGATTTGCTGGCTGAGGAGGGAGAAGAGGAGATACAGATAAGGAGGATGTATTCACTGGACGAGGCATTTGAGGATGAGTTGATGGCCAGGCTGGAGGAGTATGAACAGGTGGTCCAGGAGATTCAGAGTGACCTAGAGACCACCAGGAGCAGATATTTGCTGGCAACAGGTAGGACCCCCACTTCCAGGGTGAGCTGGGGAAGGGGATAGAGCAGACATGGGCAGGGAGCACCAAGCAACTGCTTGCTTTGCACCCAGGGAGGAACAGGGTCCCTGTCTGTGTTGTTATTAAGTGCCATCGAGCCAGTTCTGACTCATAGCAACCCTGTTTCCAAGGAACAGGGTTTCCAAGAAATGACTGGTGAGTTTGAACCGCCAACCTTTTGGCTCAAACCAACCTTGTCCAGGGCTATTTCCCACACTGCCACATTGTCTGGTGTGTAGGGGCACGGGACACCCCCAGGCTGACACAGTGATGCTGCCTTCGTACTTCTTGCTCTCTGTCATTCTGTATGTTTTCTCATCTCCTCTGCTATATCCTGCCCTTTGCTCTTCCAGGAGCAATGACATCTTTACAAAGACAAGTGGAGTTCCAAGAGTCCCAGCTGAAGAAGATCAACACGGAGAATGAGATGCTGAAGAAAGAGCTTCTAGAGCGGAAGCATCAGCTTCAGGCCATGTCCAACAAGGTGGCTAACCCTGAGGGACACCCACCATGCACTGGGCCTTGCCCGATAAACTGGCCAACACTAACTTTTCTAGTCTGTTGGCCAGGTAGCTGTCTTTCACATTTCTTGGCATAGATCAGTGTTTCCAGTGCTGCATCCATTTGTAGATACACTTTCATTGGTATTCTGTCAATTCCTGGAACCTTTTATTGTTGTTGTTGTTGTCAGGTGCCATCGAGTCGGAACCGACTCATAGCGACCCCATGCACAGCAGAACGAAACAATGCTCGATCCTGGGCCAACCTCACCACCGCTGCCACCCCCGAGTCCATCAATGATGCCACCTGGCCGATCCATCTCGTTGGAGGTCTTCCTCTTTTTCTCTGACCCTCCACCCTACCCAGCATGACATCCTTCTCCAACGATTGTTTCCTCCGGACTACATGTCCAAAGTAGGAGAGACGAAGCTTAGTCATCCTGGACTCCAAGGAGCACTCTGGCTGCACTTCTTCCAAAACAGATCTATTGGTTCTTTTGGCAGTCCATGGCACCCTCAGTATTCTCCTCCAACACCACAACTCAAAGGCATCAATTCTTCTACGATCCTCTTTATTCACTGTCCAGCTTTCGCATCCATATGAGGCTATTGAAAACACAATGGCCTGGGTCAGGCGCACCCTAGTCTTCAAGCTGACATCTCTGCTCTTCAACACTTTAAAAAGTTCCTGTGCAGCAGATTTGCCCAGTGCAATACGTCATCTAATCTCTTGACTGCTGCTTCCGCGAGTGTTGATAGTTGATCCAAGAAGAATGAAGTCCTTGACAACTTCAATCCTTAGTGGGAAATATATGCTTTTTTTCTTCTCTGACAAGTTTCCCCCTTACACAGGTGCTTGTTTTGGCAGGGTTTACTATCTTGTTTTTATTCCTTTATGTGCTTTCTCTAAACTCTCCTCTGGCAATTTTTGTCCATTGGACTTCCTGTTCTGGTCCAATGGTCCCCTTCTTTTCTTCTTCTCTGTTCCTTCCTATTTATCTCATCTTTTTGCTCTCCTTTCTAGAGGATTTCCTTAGCATTATCTATAACACTCCTATTAAGTTTTCATTTTGTCTAATGTTTCACATTTCCTCTCTTACAGCAGTTCTCTTCTCTTACATTGATGAGAACTGTCATTGCAGCTGGGGTTGGTTTTTTTTTTTGGCTAATTTCTGCACCATTTCTATTCCTTACATGTTTCTTCAAGTTTATTTTTGGTTTCTATCACTTGTGCTGGAGTGCTGGTGTGGTGCTGTGGGCTAATGCGCCGGGCTGCAGGGCCGGTTTGAACTGCTCGGTCAGTGGTTCAAGCTCACCAGCCACTCCTCGGAAACCCTGTACAGGGTTGTTGAGTTGGAACCAACTTGACTGCACTTGGCGCAACAACAACAAAAACATCAGTCTTGCTAGAGCTTTGCTCCCATGTCAGAGCTAAGCACATGAGTGGTGAAGACTGACAACAGTGTATTCATGGCAGGGGGATGTACTTGGGCGTTACCATGGGACCCTCTGATGGCAATATCTCTAAGTCTTTCCTCTGGGTTTGGTCAGAGTCCCCTGAAAACTGGGAAAGCTGAAGAATATGTTGTCTGGAAGGCGAAGGCACAGCTGCTGGTTTTCTGGGAAGAAACTGAGAGTCCACCATCAGCCTCAGTCTCCAGACACATGGAGTAGTGTGTCTCTACCAGAAACCCTCTGCTCTATCTTGAACCCCAAGCCTTCTAAGACAGGGAGGGAAGTGCCAGATGCCCAGGAACTTGAATTAAAGGCCAGCCTGGGACTCTTAATTGTTTCTGAAACAAGAGTCCACTAATCCCACCCCCCAACCCCCGCCCTGTTTTAGCAGGAAAACCCAGCGCTTCTGATTTTGGTGACTTTATTGTTAGTTGCCATCAAGTCAGATCCCGTATGCAACAGAATGTGAAATGTTGCCCTGTCCTGTGCCACCTTCACAATTGTTGGTATGTTGGAATTCAGTGTTGTGACCACTATTTTGGGTGGTCTTCCAACCTAGGGGGCTCATCTCGCAGCACTATATCAGATAGAGTTCTGTTGTCATCTGTAGCGTTTCTATCGGCGACTTTTTTGGAGAAGATCTCCAGGCCTTTCTTCCTAGTCTACCTGAGTCTGGAAACTCCACCGAAACCTGTCCCTTAGGGGTGACCCTGCTGGTATTTGAAATACTGATGAGCCTAGCTTCCTGCAACATGCAAACCACCACAGCAGGACATACTGACTTCTGGCTGCTGGCTGAGATATTCAGGAACTCTGAAGTGTGAACTAGGTGGGCTCTTGTTGTTGTGAAGTGCCATCGAGTCAGTTCCAACCTATAGCAACCCTGTCTAGGGTTTCCGAGGAGCAGCTGGTGAGCTTGAACTGCTGACCTTCAGTTTGAACGGCTCGGCAGTCTGATGCATTAGCCCACAGTGCCACACCAGAACTCCAGGTGGGCTCTTATCCCTCCCTAATGCCAGCTCAGGGAGTATGGTGGCTCTGTAGGATACGCAAGGTCAGTGGTTCGAGTCTACCAGCCACTCCATGGAAAAAAGTTGAGGCTTTCTACTCCCACAAGATTTACAGCCTCAGAAACCCTATGCAGGGTCTCTATGAGTCGGAACTGCCTAAAAGACACTTAACAACAACAACAACAACAATGCCAGCTCAGGATCCTTCTCTTGAATCTGCTATGCTTCCCAACTCCCATAATGTCTTTAATATTTTCTTCTTTTCTTTTCTTCTCCCCATCCATTATAGAAACCCCACTGCATTCATTTGATCGGGGCTTGGGGAGAGAGGCGGTAGTATTCTTGCCTCCCCTGGGGAGACCTGGGTTGGGTTTCATTCCTGGCCAACATAGCTCATGGGCAGCCACCATTATCTGTCCGTGGAAATTTGTGGGTTGCTATGATGCTAAGCTGGTTACAGCAGAGCTTTCAGACTAAAATGGACTAGAAAAATGACCTGGTGGTCTACTTCGGAAAACCTATGAATCACAAAAGTCTAATTCCATTGTGCACAAGGTTGCCATGAGTTGGGGGGCCAACTAGAGGGCAGCTAACACAACAAAGGGAAGAAGAAACATTAGATATGAGTGTTCAGCCTGCCTGCTTTGCATGGAAGCCCTCTGAGCCAACTTTGCTGCCTACCTTCCAGTTCTCCAACCTCCGAGAAGGCAGAAAACATGAAGAAATGATGGGACTCATTGAGAAGGACAATTTTCTCCTCCGACAGGTGAGCACCGGGTGCTGTTAACCTGTCCCCAGGGCTCTGTTCTGGTGTCTTTCTGGTCCCTGGAAATGGGGCAGGATAGAGCTGGGACTTTCAGCTAAGCCATTTTGCAGGCAGTGCCCTTATTTCAAGGAGCTCTGGTAGCGTAGTGGTTACGAATCGGGCTGCGAACCTTAAGGTCAGCAGTTCAAAGCTACCAGCTGTTCTGTGGGAGAAAGATGTGGCTTTCTGCTCCCGTAAAGATTTACAGCCTCGGAAACCCTGTATAGGGTCGCTGTGAGTCAGAACCGACAACTCCATGGCATATAACCACCACCGCCCCTTATTTCAAAGGAGCCTTGGTGGCTCAGTGGGCTAAGTGCTGAGCTGCTAACAGAAAGGTGGGTGGTTTGAACCCACCAGCTGCTCTGTGGGAGAAAGATGTGGCAATCTGCTTCTAAAAAGATTTACAGCCTTGGAGACCCTTTGGGGAAGGTCTACTCTGTTCTGTACTGTTGCTATGGGTCGGCAGGATAAGCATTGGACTGGTAACCACAAGGTCAGCAGTTCAAACCTACCAGCTGTTCCATGGAGAACAAGGAGGCTTTCTGCTCTCATAAAGATTTATGGCCTCAGACAGCCTACACAGGGTTGCTGTGAGTTGGAATTCATTTGATGGCAGTGGGTTTTTTCAGGCAGTTCCCTACTTGATGAGTCTTGAGACAGCCCACCCCCACGCTGGCTCACATACAATGTCCCTCCTCCTCTGTCCTCTCTGGCTCTTCCCCAGCAAGTGATGGAGCTGGAGAGAGGGCTAAAATCACGTGACCAAATCATCTCGGAGTACGACACCAAGGTGCAGCAGCTGCAGGACCAGGTGAACTTGGACCAGAACCACCTGCAGAGATGGGAGCAGCTACAGGAGGTCCTGCAGAGCAAGGCCAAGCTGACCCAGCAGGCGGAGGAGCAGGCCCGGGTGGCCCTGGAGAGCACCCAGTCCAGGGTACGCCCAGCTTCCCCCTCTGAGGGCTCCGTCCAGCAGCTGGTGGCGCAAACACCAGGCCCTTGCCCACTGCTGACCGAGGTAGAGCATGCATGCTGAGAGGGCAGGGGCTCTGGCTAGCCCCCTTGTCCACCAGCATCTAGCTTGGAGATGATGCTTGAGAAATGTTGGTAGAAGGGGGAGTGAGTGTGTAGAGGTGAATGAGAACTTGGTGGTAGTAACAGGAAGGGCTCTGGATGGGATCACCCTGTTTATGGAGGAAAGGAGATATAGTTTGGGCTATGAAGAGACGAGGATTTGGACAGCTGGCCAGGAAGGAGAAGGGCGCCCAGGTAGGATGAATAGAATAATAATGCCTATTTGTCATTTGTGGAGTTCCTGAGTGGTGCAAGCAATTAATGTGCTTAGCTACTAAGCGAAAGGTTGGAGGTTCGAGTCTACCCAGAGACACTTCAGAAGAACGGCCTGGTGATATACTTCCCCAAAATCAATCACTGAAAGTCTCTGACACACATGGCATCAATGTGAGTCTGAACCTGGCAGCTGTCATTTATAGACCACGGTTCTAAGCCCTTCATTAAAATTAAACCCATTTAACCCTTTCAACAGCGATTGAAATCAATGCTGTTATAATTGTCAATTCACAGGTAGGGAAACCAAAACAATGGATGATCCATAAGCCATTTAAGACCCCAGGCCTGCAAGAGGAGATGCTGGGATTTGAACCTGGCAAGGTCCACTCTTAGCGATCATGTTACATGTAGTGGTAAGGAGGTGGCTGGGGTAGATGCATCCTATTTAGGAGAGACTACGTGGCAAAAAGGAATATTAAAGAGAGCCCAACCTTGACTAACAGTCTGAAATTCAGCAAATGTAAAGACCGTATTCATGTTGTTAGGTGCTGTCAAGTGGATAAGAACTCATATCGACCTTATGTGCAGGGTATTATGGTCAAGGGATCTAATTGATGGGTGTAAGATGTTTGGACATAGGTCCAAGCTCAATGCTTGCCACCGGTGCCATTTTTTAATAGATTCTCATCTGCCAGGACCCACTTAAGATTACAGGGGACCTGGTTAAATGTTCCTGTATTCAGTCTGTATTCAGTCAGGATGGAAAGTAGGGCATCACATGGGCCCTTGGAGCTGAATGCTAAGTATCAGAAGCAAGTGCGTTCCTAAGCCTCCCACACACAGTTTCTCCAGGTGGCTGGACCCTTCTTTTTTGTTTCTGATTTTGAATCATTCACAGGTTTTTTCAGTTTTTCAATTAAAAAACAAACAAACAAGTAGTAGTGGTAGACAGCCTTCAGGTTTGGTTAGGAGGCCACCATGACCTAGGCTGTGATCCGGTTGCTTTTAGCAATCAAGCAGACTGCACTGATTCATCTGTTTGACCTCCAGTTTCTACTTTTGAAAGTCATGAAAAACCAGATACCATGGAGTGAATTCTGACTCATGGTGACCTCATGTGTGTCACAGTAGAGCTGTGCACCATAAACTTTTCAATGGCTGATTTTTCAGAAGCAGGTTGTCACGTCTTTCTTCTGAACCACCTTGGGGGTGGATGTCTTAGGTTATCTAGTGCTGGTAGCATCGTGGGTTACTCATTGGGCAGCTAACTGCAAGGTCAGCAATTCGAATCCACCATCTGCTCCACAGGAGAAAGATGAGGCCTTCTGCTCCCATAGAGATTTACAGCCTTGAAAATCCTACACAGGGTTGCTGTGAATCGAGACTAACCTGATCCTCTTTCTCTCTCTCTCTCTCTCTCTCTCTCTCTCTCTCTCTCTCTCTCTCTCTCTCTCTCT